CATGGTGGTATCGCCAATATGATTCGGACGCCGGGTGAAGCTGCTCTGACTTGTTTTATTATCGCTTTCATACCCGCGGTAAACCTGTGACTGGCAGCCTTCCAAAACCTCATATCATTTGTTCCCAACATGAGCAAATAGATATCAGGATTCAAGTCCATGGAGAATCCAAAGTTATGTGTACCGATGTAAGGTATGCCAAAACCGTCCATGGCATTGGCAGCATTTCTTCCATAGTTACGGACTCCAAAGCCGGTGCCCAACAATCTCTGAAGAAGGGTAGGGTAAGAGGCTCCACTATTTCCGCTTCTTCCCAGCGTCAAGCTATCCCCCGCACAGGCCACTCGGAGAGGAGTAACGGTGGGGGATGCAGTAGGAGCTGCACTTGGTGCTGTGGTGGGAACTAGACTAGTAGTGGGCGATACAGTCGGAGCCTCAGTTGGTGCATTGGAGGGTGATATGCTCGGAGCATCACTTGGCCTATCTGTGGGCAATGTACTAGGAGACTGACTTGGCCGACTGGACGAAGCTTCAGTTGGGGCATTGGAGGGCGATTTGCTCGGAGAGTTACTTGGCTCGTTCGTGGGCAATGCACTTGGAGATTCACTTGGCTCATTGGTAGGCAATGCGCTAGGAGAGTCACTTGGCTCTTTGGAGGGCCATGCACTAGGAGACTTACTTGGTTGGTTGGACGGAGTTTCACTTGGTGCATTGGAAGGCAATGCGCTCGGTGCATCACTTGGCTCGTTGGAAGGGAATGCGCTAGGAGATTCACTTGGCACATTGGTCGGAACTTCACTTGGTGTACTGCTAGGCGATGCATTCGGTGCGTCACTTGGCGTATTGGCCTGGGTTTCAGTGGATCCGAAAAGTTCTTGTTTCCATGTTGATACAAAGGGCATCTTTAAGTCGTCTTTTGAAACAGTAGTTTGTCGTTTTCGTATCGGTATGTCTAAGAGCAGTTGCCGGTCGACAGCCCCTTTTATTACGCTGGACGACTTGGACTTATGTTCTGACTTGTTTCTCGTGGTTTTTCGATGATTCTTCAAACTAGAACCAACAATAAGCCGCCTTCGCACATTGGTTTTTGGATCGTTGTTGTTGGAAGCATCAGCTGCGCTTGCACCACTGAATAAGAATAAAGCAAGGATCAGAAGGCAGCGTATGTCAGACTTTCTCATTGTCGTACAGTGAGCTTGGGAATAATTTATAGCTCAAGCATTCTGAAAGGCTTAAGCTTCAAGTGTTTCAATCCCATGAAAAACGAAAGTGAAATTTTAATAGTGTGAAATGAGCGAGTCGTTTGGCGACGTTGGTATTTAGCACCCGGCGGGAATACACTACACGTACCCGTGTATGACTGATGACTCACATGATAAAATATACCAACCGATCGGGGTTCAGAGATAGCCCCTAGAATACTTCCCCCTCAATAACGACCCCCCTTTGCTTAATATTCAAACATAAAAAAGGATTACAAGATTTCCGATTAATATACTTGTCGGGAAACTTATCATACCGGTAGAAGACATAATATAACTTCTTCTATAGCATTGTTTTCTAAGGTGCACTACATTGCTCAAGGCAATCTTGACGACATGTTTCACAGCTCTCCCCAATATCACAGACACCATTATTGTTGCACAAGATCTGCCTCTCCCAAACTTGAGCAAGCGCTGCATATCCTTTTTCATTGAGGTGCAAGTTGTCGGAACTGTACATGTTATCTTGATTGACAGTCGTTTTGTACATGTTCACCAATTCTACCTGTTGTGCTGAGGCAACCGCCCGTATGATTGGTTCAATATTATTTACCAAAATATCGTTGGGGATTCCAAAATTGTTCGGCTTGACCCATGGTGGTATGGCCAAAATGATTCGGACGCCTGGTGAAGCTGCTTTGACTTGCTTTATTATCCGATCCATGCCCGCGGCATATCTGTGGCTGGCTTCTTTCCAATATCTGGCATCGTTTGTTCCCAGCATGAGCAAAT